AAAGGGCAATAAGAATATTGACTGGACTCAAAACTAATGGGAAAATTATTCGAAAGCTTAAGGAGCTGAAGTCTTATCTTATCGAAACTCAGGGAGGTAATTTCCGAAGAAATAGATGGTTTTTAGTACCAGCACCAGCAAACCATCAGAGCTCTGTTTCTAATAAAACTATTCTTACTTGCAATCATAAATTTAATATCGTCACTAATACACAATAATTTTCCAATATAGTTAATTATTCTACTAACGGTAGACTGGAAAAGTGTGTTATTCAAAACCAAAATGTTGAATTTCAACCTGGGCCCGTATTCTCGTTACCGGGGAACAGTTTTCTCTCAAGAGAATGATTGGTCTGTCTTAGTCACCCATATTGTTATTTCCATAATACTGACGAAGACAGAGCAATCGTTCTCTTGAGAGAACGCTGTTCCCCGGTTATGAGAATACGGGCCCTGATGTACAATGTGCGAAATTGAAACTGGAAAATCCACAGGTTGCTGATAGAATGGTAATCGATGAAGGATTTCAAAATGAAATTGAAAGATATCGAAACTGAAAAGGATATTTTTTTCACCTTACCTTGCTCTACTTCCAAACTCCATTCAGCTTGCCAGCTCATTCATAGGAGTACAACGAAACCGTCTTGATTTAACCGGTCGCGGTAAACGAAAAACCGCGGGTCTATTTTCTCGAACCACACGAAGCGGGCGAAATGTTTTTGGCAACTTGTCGACAGTGTAAGGACTTTGCCGGTATCCTTTTTCAGTGTTTAGCACGCGCATTTTAAAAAGCCAAATTTAGCAAAGCCGTATCATTCTTAGGCATAGAGCACGCGCCATTCAATTAGAATAAGAGAAAACAAAAAATAAAGAAAAAAACGAATCAATTTCCATTCCCAAATAGTTATTGACATCCTAAATACTCAATTTAACCTACAACTATATACAGGGCGCGTAGACGAAACTGAACAGATAACAGTTTTAGCGAAAGTGTTGCAGAATCCAAAGTTCAATCGGATGATATGACAAGTGATGAGAATAAGGATGAAAGTGCTGGTTTTAGAATTAGTAGACCAAAGCGTCGCATTGAAGAGACCTGTATATTTAAAGGACTATGTTTCTAAAGCTGTTTGTCTTTTTCTTATTATGAAAGGGGGGATGTTCTATCAGGACTTGTTATGATAACATATATCAACTCTGCCATGTTCTATACGCCGGTTGTTAAGGTATTGTTTGGAGATAACACAGGATGTCATTAGATTTTGTATTGGTTTCTTTTACACCGTTCTCGGTCATTTGTGAAACTTGTTTCAAGATCTATTGAAGATAAATGTCTATTCATGATAAAACAACCCAGCAGCTTGGTAGAGCACATAGAGTTGTTGTCGAAGACGTATGAGTTGTTGTAGAAGAGCTTGAAAAGCTCAAAAATTGGGGTACTATAGTCTTTTTCTAAAAATAGAATATCAAAATTTTGATTATTATCGCCGGCTTTTTTGAGTTGTTCTCAGATCGAAAGAATCATTGAGCTTTATATGCTTTTAGAGAAAACTATTTTTCACCAATTTCATCGAAATTGACTTTGAAAATCACTTTCGATCGTAGTAAATTATGATGAAATTGCACTAGTCAATTACCCATTTCGTCACAAACTAGTTGTAGCGCCATAAAACTAGTGTTATTAAGAAACACGTTTTTGTTTACCTTTCCTGCTCGGTTTATAGCCTAAGTTTACGGTGTTTGTATTTGGTTTTTAAATTGTAGTCTAAATATGTATTTTGTTTGACCTAGTAACATATAAAATCTGGAAAAATATTTCCCAAGTCAAACAATAAAGCCAGTGAGTGGTGATACAATAATGCAACATGATTTTTATCCAAAAAATAGGTAGGAGAGATCGCAGGAATCGCCAACACAAAGACAATGAGCTGCAGATGACAACAATGTCTATAGTCTGTTTAATTCCAGGGAACACATAAATGTGTCAGCAAAATGGATTTAGGTATTATAGTTAGTTCATTGACATAATTGATAAGACTGCAAGCAAATTATAATTATTGTTGAAACCTTTTATACCTGCGCCTATTGTTTTCTGGTATTCTTTATAAGACATTAGAGCAGAACATACCAAAAGTACAAAGTAATTGAACAAAGGACACAAAAGATACAAAGTGATATTGAAATACCTCTACATAGTTTTTGAAGGAATGAAATATGACAATTTTACATATATGGAGTAATTTCTCAAAAACTATAAAAGCCATAAATGTGAAATTTTCTGGAATCTTTTATGACATTAGAGCAGAACATACTAATAATACACAGCAATTGAACAAAGGAGACAAAAGTTACAAAGTGATTTATACAAATACATAGTTTTTGAAGGAATGAAATACAACAATCTTAGATAAATGGGGGAATTTCTCAAAAACTTGAAAACCACAAATATAAAATTTTCTGGCGTCCTTTAGACATTAGAGCAGAGCATAACAAAAATTCAAAGCAATTGAGTAAAGGACGCAAAAATTACAAAGTGATTTATACAGATACATAGTTTTTGAGGAATTAAATACATATGACGAACTTGCATAAACTGAGTGATAACTTTAAAACTAAATCCACAAATATGAAAATTTTCTGGAATCCTTTATAATGTATTAGAGCAGGGTATACCAAAGATTCAAAGCAATTGAACAAAGAACACAAAAGATACAAAGTGATTTATTCAAATACCTACATAGTTTTTGAAAGAATGAAATACGACAATCTTACATATATGTAGTAATTTCTCAAAAACTATAAAAGCCACAAATGTGAAACTTCCTGGAATCTTTTATAAGACATTAGAGCAGAACAAAGGACACAAAAGTTACAAAGTGATTTATACAAATACATAGTTTTTAGAGGAATGAAATATGACAATCTTACATAAATGGGAGAATTTTCAGAAACTATAAAAGCCACAAATATGAAATTTTCTGGAACCCTTTATAAGGCATTAGAGCTGGATATACCAAAAGTTCAAAGCAATTAAGCAAAGGACACAAAAGTTACAAAGTTTATACAGATACATAGGAACAATGTGGCTTTAAGGAAAAGCACCCAGATCTTTTGGTTTTAAAGCTTCACTAGGACTTTTTTGAAATATCCTTTTTGATGGGTCGACAACTGAAAAGGGTTTTGGGTGGGTTTTTTTAGAAAAAGTTTTCAAAAATTTCGTATATTTGTACGGCTAAAGCCGCGTCCAGATTAGTAAATAAATGCGTTGCGTTGAATTCGGGATTTGCCACAAATTTTTGCGGCGCAAATTTGGTAACTTGAACCACATAAATATTTGTGTTGTGCGCCGTGCGTTCTTGCTCAACACGTGTGTGGCGGTGGTGTATGGCTTTCCTAAGCTTTGTACCCATTCTGGCAATTCTGGGCCCAATTTAGCTTATAAAAAATTCAAAATTATTTGGAGACATACGCAATTTTTTTTTTGAAATGCCCTGTACTTTCATCCATAGATAGAATATCCAATAATGTGCTACCATCAGAGTATTTCTTATGCTGATACAGATACTTAATCCAATAGCATCTGGTTTTGTTTCTTTTTTCTCTTCCTTTTTTCCCATCAGAAGACAATCACAGATTCACAATTTGTCAAAATCGATGCGTTCGCGAAATAATACGTCCACACTAGAACGATGTTGCGCCGCAAATCCCTTTGATGTTTTGAAAAAAACCGACAACGCGCGGATCACGTGCCTTGAATGCCGCGAACATTTTTGCGTACGTCCGTATGCGGCGAACAGGTCCACACTCGCATAAACTTTGTATCGCACACACAAATTTGTGCCGAATGCCACGTACAACGTAAATTTTTACTAATCTGGACGCGGCTTAATGAAAGCATTGAGTCAATTTTTAAAGGTTAGGTGTTATTTGCGAGTGGATTTATTGATGTTAGTTATTTCCTTGGGTAGCTACAGAATTAAATGGTGAAGGGGGTTTACTTGCAAATGAGAGAAACAACTGAAGTAAGGTTTACACACAAATAGTTTATTTCAAAATCAGAACGAGCCCAAAATTGCGAAACCAAGAAACAAAAATGTTTACAAAATTATACAGCCACCTTTAAGGTTCCAACTCCAACAAATATTTCATTTCAATTTATTATCAGTTCATTTTCAATATTTTTATCAACTGCAAAAATGTTCCATTATTTTCTAAAGTACCTATCTAGTAATTTTAAGTAAAAGATCTTGTACCTACAAATATTATTGTTGTCCAAATTGCTGACTTTGCAATTCAATTAGGATTATTGAAAGGAAATTAAATTTAAAAATAATGTTTGTATTAGTCAATCTGGCTAGGTTCATGATTTGTTTCTTTTACGAATTCAAGGGGATTTTAAATTTATAATTTAAAGTTATTGGATGTACATTATTTAAAACTAGGTATTGAACCATTTAGAATAGATTTTAAAAATATGAACGCCAGTTAGTAGGGTCTTATAGAAGGAACAATTTGAGCTTCTAGAGAAATTGTGAGAAGTAATAAAGAGGTTTGATTGACAAATATTGAAATTCCGAAAAATAAAGGAACATTTTTGCAGTTGATGAAAATATTGAACATGAACTGATAATAAATTGAAATATTTGTTGGAATTGGAACCTTAGAATTGGCTGTATAATTTTGATAACTTTTTTGTTTCTTGGTTTTGCAATTTTGGGCTCGTTCTAATTTTAAAATAAAGTATTTGTGTGTAAACCTTACTACAGTTGTTTCTCTCATTTGCAAGTAAACCCCCTTCACCATTTAATTCTGTAGCTACCCAAGGAAATAACTAACATCAATAAAACCGCTCGCAAATAACATCTAACCTGTAAATCAATAGAGTACTTGGACGGCCAGCTACAAAACTATAACTTTTCTTGCTCGAAGTAAATTGTAATCGTTTTCTGATGGAAGATATATTTTCCTCTTCTAAACTTGATTCAAATAAAAATTCCTTACCAACATATCCGCCACCGTATCTTCCAACTTCGGTCTTATCCCATTTCCATCCGTGGTCAGTTTTGAAGGTAACATTCAGAAAAGCAGAGACAAACGAATTGTCTTCGGCGTTGATGTTGAAATTCAACGAATTCGGTACCCAATCTTCTGGAGTGGCTTCGGATAACGTTGAACCGATAAGGTAAAGGAGCCATATGATGCACATGTTGTTAGCTCTGAAACAATAATAACAATATTTTTGGAAACATTGTCGAAAACACTTGTGTTGTAAAATTTATTTATTGTATGTTTGTGTTTTGACGCTACGAATTATTTATTTTAGTAAATGGTGGAAATTCCATTTTGAAAACAAAAATGCGATTTTGTTTGTTTTTCCAAAAGTGATGCAAAAATGCTTCCGGAAGATTATAAACATAGGCTCAATATACCTACGTGCAAGACGACTGAAGGTTAAAAAGCACAATAATTCCTCTATTAAAAACACTAGTACAAGTACGCATAATTACCGGCTCACTCACTTTAGCCTTTTATTATCTGCTACTATATTTAGATTTGGCATTCCGCTAATAGCTGAGACAACTGTTATTAAATCAAGGAAACGATATTAAATCCATTTTCAAGTTTATATCAATAAAAATATCTGAACTGGTCATTAGCATTTAAGTATTGACTGTTTTAGTTTGAACGAGTTGATTTTAATTGATTCAATTTGTTTATGAGTTTAATTGCACACACGTTTTGTATTGAAAACATCCTAAATAAAAAACTCTCAGTATTACTTACAGTAAATAATTATTGACAATTGTTCGCACACCAGGATACGTAACTACTAACTAACTCAATATAATGCTTAATTATAATGTGCATCAAAAAAAAAAAGATAAAAACACGGTTGTTTGTCCGTTTAATCCGCCAGGCATATGGAGGATGGTTGTAAAATGCTTTTCAAAGATAAAAATGTTGAATGATCTAAATAACTAAAATGGATTATGCCTTTGATATGTAGATAATGAGTTCATTGTTTTTTTTTTTTTTTTGAAGGTCTAGACGTGTTGTGTGGGTGGGTCATACGATTTCAAGTTGTTGCCCGATAAGTATTTATTGGAACAATAAAAAATTGATGATAACTAGAGAAGGGCATATATGTAAAGTGCATATATGCAAAGTGCATATTTTGCATAATTTGTATGTTTTATGCATTTTAATTTCATTCTGCATAATTCTTTGAAAACTTGCATATAGTGCATAAGATGTATCAAATTAAGACAAAAGGCGTTAATGAAGGGAAGAATTGTGAAGTAGGTATTCAACCATTCAGCAGATAATGTAATTACAGGAAAACCTACCGTGAAAGATCCTTCACTGAGAAAATTATACCAGTGTTCTTTCATACTGGTGATTAAAACCTAATTTAACCCTTAACTACCTACCTAACTTGCCTGGAAGTAGAGCAATAAATATTTATACTATCGATTTTTGAAAATTTCCATATTCATTTGAAGTTGATTCAGCCCCCCCCCCCCCCACCTAATAGGCCACATAGTCTCTCCACTGTAATGGAGCAAAAATCGAAATTAGTGGAGCAAAATGAGAGCAAAATTATGGGATAATTTTCATCCAGAAATTTTCTATGGGGGGGAGCTAACTTAACTGACCCATGTTGCGCTGTATCTCAAGAACGGCTAATTGTACAGCAATGCACCTCAGACCAAATTTGGAGCAAATTTAATGAGCTATAACTTTTTCAAGAAGAAATTTTTAAAAAAGTTTATCGTTTTCGAGATATTGATAAAAGCATTCCAGAACTTTGACGTAACGTCCCAAATAATCATCGAATCCATGAGAAACTTTCACTAATTATCTAGACTCATAACAACAACGTGGACGCAAAAATTCACAGTTAGGTCTTTTTAATTTATACCTAGATCAAAATCTGGAGCATAGGACTTATTACCACTCTTCGCGCTCTATCTCAAGAACGGTTCATTTTATAAAAAAAAGTTTCTAACAAAAGTGCTTAGGAATTTTATTATCTCTAACTTTTGTAATGGATGTTATTATCGTTGGCGCTATGGGAACCCAGATAATCTCGAAAAACAAATTTCTGTGACCTTTAACCTGCAATTATTGAAGAAGCCTTGGCTACAATTATTGTGACTTTTGGGACAACTATAAGAACGTCAAAATGAAGGTGTATACGAATTTTCAGCTTCTTACCTCAAAATTATTGGTAGGTGGACCCCTATTATATGCCTAATTAACTGCACTAAGAGGTTTTTGAAAAATTCAAAATTGTTTTAGTAAAAAATAACGGTTACCAATTTATTTCCAAAGTAGCAGACGTTTTAATGGGAGATTTTGATGAATCCATTGATTTAGATTTAGATCCTAAAATCGTGGCCGGCTTACAAACCCACCCATGACGTCAGCTGACGTGGAAAGAAGTTTTTTCCTATATAAATATATACCTACATTCCGATAGAAGGCAGAAATTTCTGCTAGGAAATTTAGGAATATTTAATGGTTTATTGCTTTTACAACTAGTAATTCATATTTGTAATTTATCAGGTACTTAATTGTAATATGTATATATGTATATATATCATCAACAATCCAATAGTGTTTATTTTTTCAAATTTCTTTATGCATATTTTGAATAAAATATTTGCATATCTATGCACAAATTTCCTATGCATATTTGTTCTTCTCTAATGATAACTGATAAAGTAATCAAAGTGAAAAGTCTGGAAGATCAATATACATAGATCAACATACATCAATCTCGAGTCTGGGAATTCTTAGGAGCTAAGGTAATTAGGGAGAATTATCAAAAATTGAGTTTTTGCGAAAAATGTTCCAGTCTTTTATCCACGTCCACGAGAAAATATTATATAACGCGTTTCTCAGAGCCCCATCTGATTTTACCCTGATTATTCGAAATTACATACATTCAAAGGGGGTCCCTTTAACATTGAAAAATTTCCCTATTGAATTTACTATAGAATAGAAAGGCCTTCTTGTACCGAACAGTGAAAAGAAAAAAATACATATATGGAAATAAGACAGCACTCACAAACATGAATAAAAAAAAACAGACATCTTTGTAGGGAAGAAATATTGAAATTTTGAATTCTCCTTTAACTGAAAAAACTCGCGACAATAAAAGTCACGATTTATGTATTCCATTCGCCCCATCCGAAGATATGTTGTGAGCCATATGGACTAAAACCCCACGCAACTGAGTATTTTTAGATCGCATAAGCTTATATGGTTCTTGTATTATTTATTAGTGACGATAATCGATAATAATTATTGTCAATTTACTAAAAAAAAAAATCTTAACCGATGGAGTCGCGTGTTAACATTGATTTCAAACCACTAGTTTTTTTTTTTCGTAAGGTCAATTCCGCATGTTGATTTTAATAAATTCATAATAAACTTATCTGAATGCGACAAGGAAAAGTGATTTAAATGATTTTCTGGAGGTCTTATTCAAATACATAATATTTATTTATTGCGTGTTTATTTGAACGCGAAAATAAAATGTTTTGCATGAAACATAAAATGTTAAGTAACCTCGAGGGGTAAACCGCAAGGGAAATCTGGTGTATATAATTTATGGAAAATTTATAAGAACAAACAGGGAAAATTAATCATGAAGAAATCAAGGGAAATGTTAAGGAACTTGGGGAAAATCTTAAGAAAACTACACCTTTCCCAATTGTAATTCAGAAAGTGTGTCAAATGTATTTCAGAAATAATCAAATGTATTTCAGAAATAATCAAATGTATTTCAGAATAGCCAAATGTATTTCAGGAAGCGTTAAATGTATTTCAGAATAGTTAAATCTAGTTAAGAAAGCGTTAAAAATGTATTTCAGAATAGTTAAATGTATTTCAGAAAGCCTTAAATGTATTTCAGAATAGCTGAAAGTATTTAAGAAAGTAAAAATTCGGCGGAAATAATCCTGGAGGCCCTGAAGGGAGGCGACACAAAAAATTACCTATGTCTGTGCAGTTTTTCCAATGTAAGCCCGACTGACCCAACAGCAGCTTAATAATATTTAACTACAATTCTGAAATACATTTAACGCTTTCTGAGATACATTTAACTATTTTGAAATACATTTGACGCTTTATGAAATAAATCTGACACTTTTTGAAATACATTTGGTTATTCTGAGATACATTTGACACTTTCTGAAATACAATTGAAAAAGGTGTAGATCTAACGCATGCGCACCTTTCAAAAATCTTTATAATTTGAAATTATGTTATCAAGGGAACGCTTGGGCCATCTTACTGGTATATCATTTCCCCTAAAACTGCAATCTGATGTACAAAAACTGACCAGAAAATCTGGTGTACAAATAAAGGACAATCAAGAGAGAATCCGAGAAAATCAAGAAGAATTCCGAGGAAAATCTAAGGCAATTAGGAGAAATCAAAAGGAACTCATGAGGAAATCTTAACGAACTCAGGAAGAATCTTGAGGAAATCATGGGAAATCTTGAGGAAATCAGTCAACCTTTAGATCTAACGCATGCGCAGTTTTCAAAAATCTTTATCACAAGAATTCTTGGACAATCTTACTCGTAATCAATCAGAACAAATCATGGATGATATCTCCTAAACCCGCTTTCTGGTGTATAAAAATTGATCCACGGTTTACCCCTTGAGAAACTTGTTGGTGGAAATAGATATTGCGAAATTGTTTTTGAGAAGAATTGATTGTTTATTTTGAGAAATATCCGTGAATTCTGCTCATTAGTGATGTTAAAATTTGCTACTCAACTTTTCTATTTTTTGGTTGATGTCAACATTGTCAGCACCTTACCTAAAATGGCGAGTCAAATTTGCTTAAAAAAATTATGGATTAAAGTATATCAATAACCATAATACATATAATTTTTTTGGAATTTTTGAACACAAGGTTCAGAAAATGGGAGTTGACTTTAAACCTTAAGTTGATAAAAAAGACGGAAAGTCATGCTGACCCATGCAAAGGCCAATCCTGACCCAAGTCGCCACTTTGATTAATTGTTTAAACATATTGCTCACTTTTGTTTATGCAAAATTATTGATTTTTCGGATATTGCATTTGGGGGGATCGATTTCGACTAATTAGGGGTCAAAAATCTCGAATAATAACATTAGAACTCGTTTGCAAGGCTTTTTTAATTGTTTTTCTGTATTATAGAAGAAAATATTGAAC